GGGCTTTTCAACAGGTGAAAAAAGATTTTCTCGTTCCCAGGAAAGTAAAATGAGATACATCATGCATATATACTGTGTTCGCACACATACACACATGTACATATACACTATTGTGCCAAACTGCAAGTAAATTGTAAGCTGCAACACAAGTCTACTGTCCTAGTGACTAAACTGTGCAAGTTTCGCTATATATAATAGGGGTTTCCTTTCAGTCAATTCCCTATTTTTTCCCCTAACTGTTTGTTCCTTTCCTGAAGGCAGTGACTGATGCAGAGCCCATGTTCTACACGCGCCAGCAGCACCTGGCTCAAGAGGCTATTCTTCATGCGTGTCCCCAGACAATGGTTTTTTGTAGGTTATTTGACCACAGAAGGCATCACAAAGTATCCTCACCTGACTTTCACACACACAATTTCGTTCCCAACAGTCACCAATTGTTATGAGGAGTGAAGACCTATCATCTTTCGATTATGAGCAGAGTTCACTAAGACCAATTGCAATGGCTGACTACCGCCCAGCTGAGCACAGACCAGAGATTGAACATACAATAGTTTTGTGTCAACCGCAATGTCCTTTTACTGCACTTAACCATGGAGCCACCACAAAAGCGTGTGTAATTGGTTCAAACAATTTGTGTAATATGGAAAATCAAAGCAAAGAAACTCACCTCCAGACAGACAAGCAATCCAAGACCCAATGATTTGTGGTCACATCTTACTGAGTTACAATAAAAGTTAAAGTTCAAAATAGATTTTTAACAATTTGAGAACAATTTGAGCCAAAGTTCACGATCGTTAGCAATATTCACAAAACCGAACTGTTGCCTTCATTGGCAATATTGGAAGCTGGTGCGAGATTGGCAAAAATTGCGAAACCCGAAATCCAGAAAACCTCGGGATATTTAAATCCAGAAGTCGCAATCAACATAATGAATCCAGTTTGCAAATATTGCAAATTAGGTCCTAATAGCAACAACAATGCAGATATGGATGGCTGTGTTAGTGACCTGAATGAACCAGAGAGTAAAGAGAGTGGAGTCGGCACTGAGAAGGTCAGAGACAGCAAAACAAATTAGAAAATGCAGGATTATTCCCCCTCCCCCCTCCACTTTGCATTGAAAGAAACATGGTACACAGAGAGAATTATGAAGCGACACTAGTCCAACTGTTCAGAAGTTAAAATACTCAGGTTAACTGACACGATTTGATTAATGTGCTCTCAATGGTATTTTTTGAAGCCAAATTCAAAAATCAATAGATATGTGTTGTTTGGAAACCCATACAACAAAAGCTGCCATCCAACTATTAATGTAGGTGGCTCGACAATTTTGTGCTTTATACTTTTTCATCTCTACAGACTTTGATCAGGCTTCTGAACAATATTCTCAGAAAGCAGTTTATTACCCACTCCATCAAGTGATCAATGATTTCATTAATATGACAGATCACAAAACTGTCGTATCATTGATACAGGCTTGAAAGATGATTCTAGTTTCCTGCCACATTTTCAGAGTCTGGGATACTTACTGGCAGCTCAACTCCATTCAATATTTTCACAGACAGAGAAAACTAAAAATCCATTTTCAAACCAATTTCAATTAGAATCCAGAAGTTGTTATCACAGGTGCAGCAGAATGGGTCTGTAAGTGGAAAAGTCGTCTGTCCGTTCTGAAATGAAACCTTATCTGTAGCCACAAAGATGGCTGAGGACATCCTATCTGTAATTTACTTTTTATCCTGTGTTAACTTAAGCTTACCCCTGTCACATGGAATTCCTACTATTTGCTGTTACTGGGTAATCTAAAGGCTTAAGGAATATATGTGAGTGTCGATCTTTTCTGCATGAACGTTCCTTTGAATATATGAAGCATCCCCCCCCCACCCCCACCCACTGCACCACCTTCTCTCTTTCCTCTAAAAATTAAACAAAATAAAACAAAGGACTTTTTTTTAAAACTAGTCAAATTATTTAAAAGCTTGAAAAAAGGACTGAAGTAAAAACAAAGATCCGTTAGTGTTACGAAAGCAATCGCTGCACATTGCATTCCCAGATTTTTTTCAATTGCGAGGGCTATAGCACCAGTATTTCATTAATTCTCCCCCAAGTAGAGAGGCTTTTCTCTCACCTCCTCCAGTCTCTTTTAGCAAATTATCCCATGACGGTGGATTTATTCTCTCAAAGACCCCAGACTTTGAGAGGCAACAAAAGAATCAGAAGACTTTCTGGTCCACCTGCCTGGCGAATGATGAGGCAGGGAAAAGCCTCCCCCAGAGAAACCAATCAAACCATTGTGTGGCACAGTCAGACCTTTTCAACTGTCAAGCCAGGAGAACAGGAAAAGAGATGAAAGAACTTGGGATGAAGCTACCATTTAGAGAATGATACAGGAATGGTCTCCTAAGATTTAATAATTGGGATGGAATTCAACTTCCTTTTAACTAAAAAAGCAGCATGAGCTGGCCAGCCCAGAAAATAGCTTTAGCAGAAAATCTCTACCTTTTTTACTTTACACACTCCACAATATGCTTGAAGATCAGCCAGCATTTTGCATTGTTAAGTCGAGTGATGAGTATTTGAACTCTGAAAAGCAATTTGGCAGATTCATAAAAGTAAGTGTGCAGACACAAAAATACGAGGGTCTCAAAGGTATATGAGATTCCTAGAAAGTTTTTACACAAAAAAAACGTCGTTTTGAGATTTTAAAATTGAACAACTCCTGCTATGAAGTTGAGAAACGCACATTAGAATGACACGTAAACTCCAGCAGCCTCCCTAAGCATTTCAAGCTCAGAAGGTTTTATGTTTAAAACAAAAACGACATTTACCAGCTTCTGGAATGCTTCCTTTCCATGAGGACAGACCAGATTTTAGTCCCATTGTGAAAAAAATTCTGGCTCCTAACACACAAAGATTCTTATCAGCTGCTGTGGATAGGGTTTCAGGACATTCCCCACTCCCCTGCAGCGTAATGGATGAGCAGGGCACATACACACACACTCACTCCCTCCCCCTATTAGTTTAAGATTTTAAAAAGCAGACAGAGTTCTCTACATATTGCTAACTTGTCTCTCCTCAACTCTGACCTGCACAACACGACTCATGTATTGCTTCACTCTGACCATGAGGCCAGAAAGGGGTAAAATGCTTAATACTCGCATTTCAGCGACACTGCTAATACTAGTCGGAAAGTATAGGCTACCCTGCAACCCGTTCTTTACATGAGCTTCATTTGATTGCTTTCCTGTCCTTGCTCTTCCTCCCCCCACCCTCATGTCAGACTCCACTGAATGAAACTAACTAATTAAAGAGGAACTGACCACCACAAAAATTCACCTCTCAAGCAATGTTAGTGTGTGTGCGTGGGGGGTGGGGAGGGAAGAGGGGAAAAGAGATGGGAAGTCAAGACAGGAAGCAACAACTTTAATTTCTCTAATGTATGATTCTAAAATATATCTATCTACATAAATGCATAGATATTAGCAAAGTCTACCATCCAAACTTAGGAGAATTGCGTAAATTAAGGGCATACTGTTGATAAGAAAGCCAACCTTTCCCTTCATGTATAGACACACACATGTGGCTGTCATTAACCATTTCTGCTCTTGGTAGTTTACGCAGTTCAGATTTATCCTTTTTTTTAAATGAATCGCTCTCTTTCCCCAAAAAAATCAATTGCTTCCAAATTTCTAAACACTCTTGTACATCATTTTCTGTAGTCTAAAGTCCCTAGTTTATAATGCTAGTCACATAAAAGCACTAAAAACCAAATATAAGACAGTTTTTTTCCCCTATACACAAGCACAATATTTATGAGAAACAAAAGCACAAAATTGGTCTGGACAAATATGGCCCAAATTCCACCTCGTCTTAAACCACAAATTTTTTTCTTAAAACATCACATTGATGTACAGTCATGGAAAATCATTGAATTCTAACTTTAATTTGTTAACTGATTTCTCTTTAAAAACTGTAAAAAACTTGCTTTTAAATTAGGACTAGTCGCCCCCCACCCACACAGACACTGCAGCAATTTTAAATTTAAAGGCAAATGGTCTCACAGGCTAAGACAAAGTGGAATTATGAGCTGACTGGAAGTCAAAGCATCGGATTCACAAATAGAGACCGGAGATCAATGCTGGTAACCAACAGTGCATCGATGCCTATTCAAGGGATTCCCACACTATAAAGACTACGGATTCCAACCAGATGGTCATGGGACTCTGCCGGTTACCTGCAAGATTGCCTGTTATTGATTTGGAGTCAATAATAGTAAATCCCATAAAATGCCTCAACGTGGCATTTTACCCAAATTCCAGCATGGAGAATTGATGGCGTTGTCTGAATTAACACCTTTCCCTCCCTCCTCAGATCAGGATGCACAGTGACTCTAGTTATGTGCACATAGAGGAGAGGAGCTCCCCATTGGACATATTGCTGTTTCATGGCCCAGTCTGAATGCAACATTTTAAAAGCAAAGACTCCAGTACCCATTGAGGCAGAGGTCCCGCCATTACAAGAGAACGATGGGCACTTGCTATGATCTGTGCTCTCTGTGGCCATCCCTCCTTTGCCCAAAGAAAATGAATACAAAGCCTAAGCAAGCACCCACCAACCTTTTAAGGCTGTTTAACAAATGCATAATACTCTACTCTGTGTTAAGAGGAGAATGAATGTAATTTGCATTCATGTGCAATTGCCCACGACTTTTTGCACAGCATTACGCAGCCCACTAAAGAAAAAAAAATCCACAGTAAATCTCATCAAATTACAAAGACTGTGTTTAACTGGAGCAGAACCCACCAGCAGAGTAAAAGAAAATTGTTTTGCGCTGATCTTAGAACAAGGATTACTTCAACTCTGAATTCCCCTCCGCCCACCACCAACATTTTCCCAAAACAAACAAAGATCCAGGTGCAGCTGATCCATTCACAAGGAATGCAGCGAACAAAAATAATTGCTGGTCTTACTGTTAGCAAATCCCTGCATACTACAGTACTTACCATTGGACGTTGTACTGGAGGCTACAGCTTTTTCACTGACATCTGTGCGAGAAGTTCCCTTCACAATGGAATTTTCTACTTTTTTCTTTTCAGATTTAGTAGTGCTGTGTGAATGGGCTTCCATGGCAATTTTTCATTACTTCAGCGCTTCTAACACCAGCGCACCTAAAAAAGGGTAGAAACAGATGCAATTAAATAATATGTTTGTGTGTGTATGTGTGTGCGTGTGTACGCATGTAAAAGTCACAAGCACTGCTGTACATTGTGGCTCTTGACTGATGGTCATTTATGAAACCACTGTTCTTTGAAATAACACCCTGCATCTTCACCATGTATCACTTGTACGAAGTACATAATGGGTTAAAAAATTAAAACAGGATACATGTTAAAGAATGAGTTGAACCAATTTCCAAACCTAATTTTCGAATAATCATTAACAATTTAACCCCGTTCCCAAACACCAGCTAAATGCTGAAGGTGTGAAGAAAGCACAACTATGACTGCCCTGATTTTTAAATAATTTTATGCCTTCACTACTAAATTCTAAAATTAAATGTCTGCCTTCCACTATTTTGCCGCCAATTGTAACTTAAACTCACAGTATGTCACTATTCAATAATTGGTTTACACAGGTAGAAAGCAACAAAAGCAGTTCATTCCTGAAGAAAACAATTCAGAGTCTCTACTCCGTCCTGCTACTTTAGGCCAGTGCTCAATTTATCCCGGCAATCAGCACACAGGTGTGCCTTTCTCTTTAAGTCATGGATATGGATTTCCGGCTAACGTAAGGAATCTAAAACCCCCAACCCACACAGGACACAAGACACACTTACAACACCCGCAGATGTTATTGCCAAATGTCACCAAAACTCAGACAAAATAATCACCAAAAGTTGGTGACTCCTGCAGCTAAATGAATAAATGCAGTTACAGAGGAGTTCTCAAATAGTTACTGCACATCTCTGAAAGAGAAGCAAGGTGCAATACTACATTGGAAATGAAGGAAACTGGCAGTCTTGTTCAATATAAAATGCTATCAAACAGCCTGTGATTTTATGTTGTTGCTGGTAGTTCAAATAGAAGATTGAATCAAAGTAATTATTAAATATTGTAACATGAACCTTGCCTTGTTCCTTTGTCCGATACTGTAACTGAGAAGTGCCGTTTCTGTCTGCCTTCCCTTCCGTTTAGCAAACCTAGTTGATAAACTTTGTTTGCCCTTTCTTTCAATTCCACTGTAACCTCTTTATCTCTTCTGGATTTCTTCCCATCTCATTTTTCACATTTTTGCTTTTAACTATTGTAATTTTTTTTCGCTTTCCACCATTACCTGATTCTCACTTTGTTTCTATCGCTGTCCCCCATTTTTCTCTATGCAGCCTTACTTTTATTCATTTCATTAGCAACTGCTTTGACTCCTTTGGGAAGAGCTGTCTGCAACACCAGTGTCACAGCATTCATCATCATTACATCAGCAGCAGGAAAGTTCATACTGATTGTTATCAGCATAAAGAGCACTCTGATCACTGTGCAAGCAAACATAACATGTTTAATTTTTAAGAAATAAGCCTGAGTATTTGTGGCGTTCATCTGTACAGCTTTGATCCGCTCTATTGAAGAAGCCTTTGGGGATACAATAAAACTCAAAACACTATGAACTATAAAAGAGAAACAGGAGAGGAGAAATGAGCAGGAAATTAGACTAGTTCTCAAGCATAAAAGACTGTTTATCAATCCTATTGAACCGCCTTACAAAATATCCCAGGGATTTAAAAACTCAACAAATGTTATCTGGGTTACAACCAAATTCAAATCTAGGAAACCTATAAAGAAAACAGGAACTACAATTTATCATTAAAGTGTGCAACTAAGCTAAGTCTTGTCACCGTGGCATTTGCAATACCATTTCCTTGGTGTTTATTCTGTGAAGAAGCAAACCAAGCCATTCTTAATACTGATCTACCATGAGTCTACAAGACACGACTGCCAAAGATTATATAGAGAGAGTATTGTAATAGATTGTAAAAATTGGCCTGTGATAAATTAAAGATGTTGTAAACTGAATAAACTGCATTTAGTATTATTCTTTAGGGGCCAACAAACTCAGAAACCCGTTTACTGAAAAACAAGATTTAGAATACAAGCATTTTAAAAAAAATGCAAGAATATAAACGTCCCCATACACAGTCTTCATGATGAGAACTTTTTTTAAACATTTACTGGAGCAGGTTTGCATAAGTAAAAACTGAATACGAGTGTCGTTATTATGCAATAGTTTTATATTCTGTTAAAATGAAGCTGACTTCATCTTTTAATACCAGATTAGCTATTATGCGTTTGTTTAAAGTCAAGTAGCACTGACAACCTAATGGTGGCAGGCAGCACTTTCAACTCAACTCAGAGGATTTAAATTAGCCCCTTGAATTTTGCCATTTACCTAATCTCTACATTAAGGCTTCTTTTGTGGCACTGCCACTGCCCTCAACAAACTTTTATTCTTTCTGCTCTGGGAACCGGCTGCAATCTTTACAAATGCAACCATTAAGAACGAGAAAGATTTGCAACCTCCGTTTAAAAAGGCTGGTGTGGAGAGGGGGAAAAAAGTAAACTGACCTGAAGATACAGTCATAAGTAAGTCTTATTGAAATACTTCAGAAATTAATGTAACAGAAATGGTGAAATAAACAGAAATGATCTACGCATTTCAGAACCAGAAGAAAAAAAACAAGACCATAAAGTACTGATGTAAGTACATCCGAGTCGCTTGTTTAAGAGTATTCCACAGTTTGCTCTTCTACATAATAATAATCCTTGTATTTGATATAGCGCTTTTCACGTCTTCTAGATGTCTCAAAGCGCTTCACAGAATATACTGTAAAGTGAATTGACTGTATATTTGTGGGCGAAATGCGGCAGCCAAATTGCACACAGCAGTGTCTCAAAAACAGCCATGGATTGAAGTGACCGATTTATTATTGTTTTTTTCTTGAGGGATTATTATTAGGCGTGTGGCGTAAGGAAACTTAAGATAGCTGGGTTACACACTGCATACAGAAGGAAGGCTTCGGTGTGCCTTCTCCTTCTCTCAATAAACAAGTTAGCGAATAGAAAACCTTTTTTTGAGGGGTGGGGGTGTCATGTTGCAGTTGAACATAGATCAGGAGACAAAAGTTTTCTTTGATGACTGTAGATTTGCTGAGATCATTCTCCAAAAAGATTTGACAGGTCATAGAGATTAATGTCCAGCTAACCCATGTATCTATGTCCACTAGTATAGATCTACCTTTTTAGTAATAATGAACTGTGATTCGCTGCAATACTGCAAGGTGTTTGGTAGACTTAATTACAAAGCTATGTAAACACCAATGTAAATCTTGCTTTGTACTCTTGCTAAAGAGTCAAGAAGGAATTTCAACTCCACTTCTTCATATAACACATTACCATGTTATTGTCAGACAAACTCCTGAATGACACAGATTCCCTCCTTCAAGTACGAGTCTAATCTAAGATGCTCAAGGCTCTTTGTTTTTCCAGTGTCGGGTTCATGCTCCCTGAACATTGACAAGGAAAAGAACGTCAATGTAAACACATCTGCAAACAGAGCCCAAGCGAATAACAAAAATAATAAAAATCACTACACAAAAGCACCATAGAAATACCAAGGACTCCAATGAACAAAGACATGGTGCAGTTCTGTGTTATGGTTTACGTTGAGCATAAAAAATATTATGCTGCTTTAAATATTCCAATGGTTAGTACAGATAGCAATAAATGGTTAAATATTTAAGTTCACTTTGTGCAGGAATTTAAAACCAGACATTACGCAATGCGTTTCAGATGTCTGTCAACTGGCTAAAGGGAAAGAAACAGAGAGTAGTCATAAAGGAAGCAAGGTCAAAATAGTGGTGGTGGAGGGAAGAGAAAGAAAATTGAATAGGGTGCCTCAGGGGTCTGTGCTGGGACCTTCCTGTTTCTAGTGACCAGAATTTGCACTCGGAAAAAGATTGTTAAATTTGCAGATACCCCGAGCTTATTTTTGGGAGCTGGAAGGGAAAATGACTGAAAAAAAATCAGGGAACAAAGATCTTAAAAAGCAAGCTCAACAGGATATGCTCTTAGGCTGATTACTAGCAAATAAAGATTGAGACTGATAAATTCAAGGTAAGTTATTTGGGAATAGGAGGTTCTGAACGTCATGGATGGGATATAACTTGAAAAGAGGGAAATCTGAAACAGACTTCGAGGGATTAGACGACATATCGCTCACCATGATCTTGCAATCTCCAAGCAGTGTAAGGCAACAAAAAACAAAGCAAACAAAATATTTTGCTAAATTGCCAAATCACCATATCAGAGAAGTTTAGATCTCCATAATTATGCACAAGCTGCACAATATTTAAATCTGGCTTCACCTGGAATACTGTGTGTACAGGTCTGATCATCAACACCAACAGGCAGCTTGAGTCCTGGAGTCAATGGAGAGAGAATGAATTTGATGCGTTGTGATAGAGGGATGATCTAGGAGGACGGAATAACGCAACTCTTTAACCCAAAAATACGAGGTATATATAATAATACTTGCATTTTATATAATACCTCATCACATCATTGAAACATTATAAAATGGTTCACAAAATTTGCTGTAAAGTTCAGTGACTGTAGATTTTTAGGCATATAAAATGCCTCTTAACAAGACAGAGAAAGTAAACCCAGAAGAGATATATCAGGGCCACAGGAGACAGGGGCATAGGGTCAGGGAGTTAAAAGCATTTTAGGAAGTATTTCTTGAATCAGAGGGCAATTATAACAGGAACAAGTTTTCAGGAAGGGTGGTAAAATCCAGAGCACTAGACTCATAAGAAACAGGATGATACTGCAACGTGGAGTCAGTGAGATTGGTATTCTGGAAGAATGAGATCAAATAGGCTGAAGAGCCATCATCATCCAAATCTCTCTTGTGATATTATGAACATATTTTTCTATAGTTCCTTCTATGGAGATATCGCACTGTGATTTATTGCATCAAACAGTCAACGTCTAAGGGAGTAGTTGTAACTATAGGAAGGAAAAGCCTGCATTAATTGCTTCATATCTGCCATGAACTGGGAATTAGAGAGGAAAGCAAATGTGCATTTACTCATTTATGCTTCCCCCCTCTCTAAATA